CAAAAAATATTGCTGCCCCTTCCAAATTTTGTATTATCAGATTCCTTTCTGCTGTATTGTTTTCTTCCACAAGCTATTAAATGTAGTGGAATATATTTTATATTTAGATCGGCTATAAGGACTGAGTAAATACTCTTGCTCATTTAACAATGTGCTCACTGTGAGCACGTTGTGTGCTCTGGTAAAGCCCTGTGTATGAAATCACCCATGTGAAATAGCCCTAAGCACGGTGGAACCTGGGAAGCTTAGCTCTGAGCAGGGGAATTCTTGAATTACATCCTGCTGGTATATTTACTTCTGTGTCCCCTTACAGGCAGCCATTCTTAGCTGTTATGTTGGCCTCTGGAGACTGCTGGAAATGGGCCTGCTGAGGCAGGGCAGCACTTTGGTTGTTCTAGTTATGTCAAGGCATCGGCCAAGCCAACCATGACTGGAGGGGTCCAAAGCCACCGTATGTCACTTTTCCATGCATCCTTCTTCCACACGCACTTTGCGTCTGAGCCATTCTCCAGACTTTCCTTATTCCTCCTTTCCTTACTCAAAGACAGTGTCTTTGATTTCACTTATCTTCATGAGAAAGATAAGCAAGATTGCGCCAGTTGTTTACTTGGCAGAGAGGAACCCTGTGCCTGAATTGCACATTCAACAGAAAGTATCGAACAGTGACAGCACATTAATTAGCACTGGTCCACCTGTGTCGATCTTTGTTTTAGATGGCAAATCTGCAAAATCTCCTTTGGATGAATAGTACCTTATAGTTATGTATCTAACAGGATCATGTTTGACTTACTCTGAAAAGCTCTGGAAATAAACTGTGATCCTGTGATTGGGTACCAGCTCAGACAAGATTATGTCTACAACTGATGTGTAAGCTAAAATCTCTCACTTTTTTCCTCCGCTGGCCACATTTACCCTGCCATATTTCTCTTTGGTTACATGAATGTGTGATGCATGTATCTGTCTGTTTTGTGTGAGTGAGTTTATTAGTATAAGAGAGAGGCAGTTTATCATGAAGAGAGCTGTTTTGCTTCATTGTGATTGGATTCTACTACTATTTATTATTATGTATTTACAGATACAGCAGTTATGGAAGCTGTCAGCCATCTTTCAAAGCTAATATATCAGCAGCACTCTTTAATTAAATCACTTTCCATTTTATGTCACATGGTTTCTGCTCAGTTAAGTCCCAAATAAAAACAGGGTGCAAATAAAGTAACTGAGATTTTCCTGTATACTATATATGCTTGTATTATGGAACCTTTCTGTGAACACAGGTTAAGAGAAGCCCGGGTTAGTATTTATGCAGTCTGTGTTTCACCTAGCAATCTCCAGCAGACACTCAGATCATTTCTGTCTTTAAGAGCAAAATCAGAAGAGTTGGAACAAATGTACAAATTTCTTCCTGCAAGTAAAATCACAAATGAACTTTACTAAGACTTTTTAGACCCAACCATTAATGCTGCTGCTGAAAACTGCCATTCTCTTTGGTTGGTTTGGTTGTATTCACTTATTTTCTTCTTTTGTTTCTCTGAATTCTAAAATCTTTAACTTTCTGAAGAAACAGATGTCAATTTTCTATGAGCTCCATGGACTCCTACAGTGCCAAGACCAAGTACTACTGCATTGCATTCCTGAGGGAGAATAACCTTCTGATTAAGGCCAGATTAAGGAGGATCCACCCTGGATTCCCTATGGTTTTGCACTCTTATGTACTCAGATATACAACTTGAGACAGGATTTTTAAAAGCAAGTAAGAGATGGAGGTCAACTTTTATGAATATCTGTCTTAAAAAATCTGCATTTCAATTCTCCACCTGAATATTAGGTATAATACTCTTTTCTGGGTGATACTGGAAGATGCTTTATTAGGAAACTGCAGCATTGTGAGCGAGTAGTTTTGCAACTGGGTAGACAGAAAAACTTCTGTTTTTCACAAATTAACTAAGCTGATCCTGTTATGCTCTCATCTTTGCTATTTCAGATGCATGTTGACTTTCTAAACATGTCAGAAGTTTAGAAAAATAAACAATTTCAATGCACCTGTGAATATATTTGATAATTTTGATCTTCTTAAACATTTTAAATTCTGTGCATTTCTTTATTATTCTGGGCTTTTCAATTGCAGAAGCATTTACTTTCTAGAGCAAGAGAGGTCATAAATAAGACGTATAAATAAAAAAAAATGAGCCAATATTAGAAGAAAAAGATAAATATTAAGGACCTAAGGGATGCAAAAGTCATTTTATTGTGATTATCCTTTAGTGCAAGTGCTATTTTCAACTTTTGCTCCACCTTTCCTGAGGAAAGCCAAAGCAAAAGAACAACAACAAAAAGTCAGTGAAACACTGTGATGTGCCTCAGCGTTTGGGGCTGATTCCAAGTGCTGATCCTCACGTTTGTCATGTGCCTGGAAGTTGTGACGTGCAGAAGCTGGCAAAGAGCTTCCTCTGTGTGTGCAACAGAACCAGGTAAAGTTCACTGGAAAGCTAAATTATGGAGACTAAATTATGGAGTCCCTGTAGTTGTGGGACTCCTTAGTTGAGAAGACTGTGCAAATTCTCATTCAGAACCATGAGCTGAAACTTCAGTGAACGAATTGTCTTTCATCTATTTCTGTGTAATACAGATCATGTCCTTACCTCCATAAAAGGCTGGAGTAAGCATCAGGAAGTTGATTAAATGTCCCTGAGAGCCTTCAATAAACAAGCCTCCTAAAGCTGTCTGTTTATACAGACACAAAATAAGCTGCTCCAATTAGAATTTCATGAGCTCATAAATGCTTCTGTCTAACAAGATGAGGTAGAAACCATTTCAAAAGGATTAATGTCTAAGCTTTCTGAATTAAAATTCCAACAGGTGTCAATTTTATATGTCTGTCCTTACAAATGTGACATTATGCATTTGATTGATGATGGAGTAAAAGATTACATTATCTTTTGTTTTAAAGAGTTCTTTTTTAAAAGCGAAAGGCATAATTTTTCATACTCTCATTTCTAAACCATTTCATATTATCTTCTTAATTTAATTCGACCTAAATAAGATAGAAGGACATTTTTACAATGAGTCTATTTTAGTATCTTTAAAGCTGACAAGCAGCACCTCTGCAGTTTTATGAGTTTTGATCAATAAGATAAACATTTATATATATATATGTATATACACAAAGGTATTATGTAAAACCTTCATTAATTTCAGTTTGGTGAAAAGTTCTTTAATTGACTTTCACTCATGTTTGTAGTTGGCAAATGAGGTGGAAAATGCTCACAGACATAAAGGAAAGGAGTCCCAGCTGGAGCAGTGGGGCTCACTGACAAGTTTTGTATGTTTGCAAGAGTGCTGCACTTCTTGTGCTGCTTTGTTTTGGCAAATGATGTGTGCTCCAGTCTGGCTGTGAATAGAATAACTGTGTTACTCCAAATACAAAAATCAGCATGTCCATACCTATGATCTGGTATTTCTAGGGGTTCCTTTAGGGGCTTTGGGGGTCTGCTCTGGGTCTACCTGGTCAGCCTTGGCTGTGCATCAAACCATTTGCCTACAAAGCTTCACCCAGCTCTCACGTGAGGAGCATCATTTGAGGAAAAATGTCTTCTATTCATGATTTATTTCAAAGCAAGAAGAAAGAAAAGTCTATATAGATTAAATGTATATAGATATAGCTTTATTAAAGAAGTAACTTCCAAGAAGCCATGGTAGTTACTCTAAACAAAGTCAAAATTTAGTTGTTTATTAGAACGACAACATACACAAGCTGGAAGTGGAACCCTTGTCCTCCAGCTGGCTGTGGGATATCAAACCTGGCCAGATTAACCAGTGACCTGAATGCTGTAGCTTCTGAACTCCACTCCACCAACTGGCACGGTGCGACTTCCGCAGTCTTGGAGCTCTCTCACTGCTTTCCCGTACTGACAGGGAGCACGGAGCATGTGAGCAACTTTGCTGCAGTTCTGTTGGAAATCTCCATTGCTCACAACACCTCTTGGCAGAATAAATATTTAGCTTGAGGTATTTCCCAGTTAATGTATGTAGTTTGAGCTTGTATTTGGCTAGAGGTAGATTTGATTGTAGCAGCCATAACATGGAATGGTAAAGGTTTTGAAGATTTTGGTGAAACTAGTATTTGAAAGAAGCTTTGACTACTGGTAGATATAGAGGGAAGGCCAGCAATCAGAGCCATAGTCCATCTTCTCCATCACTTAAAAATGGGTGTTTTCCTGAAGGAAGTATCAATTGCTAAATTGACTAATGCTTGCTTTCACTCAGGGAGGCAAAATATCCACCCTCTCTTCTCATTTCTCTCGATACACAGACATATTCTGGGACACACCCAGTCTGAGACTCCACCAGTTACGTCTCCTCCATGCTCCTTTTCTTGGGACGCCATCAGAGTAAACACCTGTAAAGAATAGCAGGTACATGGGTGTTTGGTCTCACGAGCTCAAGCTCCACAGAGAGAGGGTGAAACCCTGCAGGCTTTGCCTGCCTGACTGCTCCTGCTGTTCATGGGGCAGGGGAGCTTCCCGGGAGGCAGCTCCAGCGCTGCGTGCCCTGACAGGACGGAGAGGGGCTGCCAAGGGTGATGGAGCCAGAGCCACAGTGACCCCCAGGTGTGAGAGGGCTCCGTGCGGGCTGCGCTGCCTCTGGAGCCTTCAGGAGAGCCGTCAGCATCTCTGCCTCGCCAAGGGGCAGCACAATCGGGATTGAACCCGCGTTTATCCCCTTGGGTGGGATCAAAGGTGCTCCCGGGGAAGGGAGGGCCCGGCCTCCGGGAGACCAGCGGTGTGTGGCTCTGCCCGCCCCCGTCCGGCCCGCGCACCGCGGCCGTCGGGGAGCAGCCGTTGGGGGCCGGGCAGGGGGGGCTCCTGTGACAGTCCCTCGCCTTCCCACCAGGGCCCGCGCGCTGGCACGAGAACTACCCCAACGCCAAAGGGGACAAGCAGTCGCCCATTGAAATCAACAGCAAGGAGGTAAAGCACGAGCCATCGCTGCCAGCCTGGCACGCCAGCTACGACCCCGGCGCTGCCAAAACCATCCTGAACAACGGGCGCACCTGCAGAGTTGTCTTTGATGACAGTTTTGATAGATCAGGTCAGTTGGGGGGAGTTTGGGAGTTTTGGGGGAAGTTTTTAATTTTTGAATTAAGGTTTGCAAAGTGCTTGAGGTGAAAATCCATCCTTGAGTCACTGGTCTACACAGGCTAGCAGAGAAAAACTATTTGGGTGGGGAAAAGAGTTGGCCCAGGAGCGTCTATAGGTGGGTCATGCTGTTTGTAGATGTGCTGCATGTGGGGCAGGGAGGCTGTCGCTGCAGGGACTGCTCTCAGGTGGAGGCTGGGCCAGCAAGGGAGGCATCTAACGTTGGCCAAGTGGTACCCTCAGCTCTGGAAGCGTGGAAGGCCGATTTCTCTTCCCCGAGTAGCCTCCTCCCACATGGAACCAAATGCTTAGGCACTGTGTACGAGGAGAGGATTTCACCTGGCAGGGATTCGTGTACTCCACAGACACCGTGCAAGCACGATGTTTCACCCTCACGTTTCCAGTGACTTTGCTCCTGGTTGCTTCCATCCTCTACAGGCAGGTTAATGGTGGCTTTGTTTGGCCTTAGGGCTATTTCAGACGGGCATTTGCAACTGACTGTTCCAGTGTATTCGAGTCCTCCTTGAACATCATAAACAGCTCCTCTCTCTTCAGTGGAGATATCACCTCCATATGCGAGTTGTATTTTAGATAATTCAAGAAAACTTCTACATGGTTGTCTTGATCTTTAGCTCCTTCTGAGTGTTTTTTTTTTCTTCTTTTCTACTTTTGCAAGTATCTCAACTGCTGCTTTATCATAGGAGCATTAAGACACAAAAATCAAACTTTGTACCTTGAATTTACTCCTGGCAAAATTCTCCTAAATGCTTTTGAACGAAGCAATTGCACAATGTGAGGTTTTCTTAACTGTTCCAGTTAGGAAAAATGAATGAGGCAGTCAAATCACCAGTGCAATTATAATTAATCTTAAGAATCTGCAAAGACAGATTTCCATGAATAAAGAACAAAGCAAGCAACTAAAAAGAACTGTTTGCAGTTCCTCTTACTATATAGGGGCCTTTCATTTCTTTTCCTGGTGGTCATAGTTACCACCATGCTTGTTCAAACAGTGCTAGGTTTTTATCTGTTTTTAAGCTGACACAGCTTTTCATTATACAAATACATTCCCCCTCTTCTTTCATACATACAGGCTACTTCTTTCTAAAATCAACCTAAACTACAAATCCTGACCCCTTTATGAGAGTCCTTCATAAGCCTATTCTTCAGTTTTAATTATTTTAGTCCCTAAAGAAGGTCAGTATGCTTGCAGCTATGCTGAATGAAGCAACTGTGTCCAATATCCAGTAAAGCCCAATATTATGCATTTTTATGTACTGCATAGAGTGATGTTTTCATAGCATATGTATACTATTTGAGCCATAACAGAATCATCTAAAAACATGTATAGCCATACTTTTGATAGCACAAAGCAGCTACACAAATCCCAAGCAAAATGACATAGACCGCTTATAAACTGAGAACTGAAATCTATAGGTACAAAAGGAAGTAATTGAAAACAGTTACATGAAAATCCTTAGTGTTAATCATCAGTCTTACTTACTGATCTACAAAATACTACAGAAACATTGCATCTGTGTTCGGTGTGCTACATGTAGAAAGCATAACTTAATGATTGCAGCAATCATCTATTTTGAAGGGCGATTCCAATATAATAGAAACATTTAAATTCTTTTGATTTAAACTCTGACATTTTGTAATGAATCTTCCCCCTGTACTTTGTAAAACTCCTTTATGAAAAGTTATGGAATGGTTTTGCTAATTAGGATCAGTCTTTCATTTCTGAGTCCAATTGTTCAAAACTTGATTCCAGAGCTATATAAGTGCAAAATTCTGAGTGTAGATGAGCAAGATCTGCCAAAACAAAAAATAAACTTCACGTGCTGTGTCATGTGAAGACAGCTCAAGAGCAAACATTACTGATCAGTTCTTTAGGAAGAAGGAAGGTAACTTAAGCCATGGAAAATACAGTTACTTTCCATTGTACTTTTCTGCATCAGCTTTGCTGGCACTTGTATTGGAATTTTATTTTTAGTAAGGTATGTAATTATTGACATACCTGCAGTGTATTCAAAGATGTCTATCACTATTTTTTATCTTGTGAGCTCTTTGTCTGCTTGGACTCCTCCATTTACCATTTCAGCTACCTGCTTTTGTTCCACATTGTGAAGACAGAATGTAAACAAATTGGGACTGTCTTATTGATCTGTATTTGTATGGGGCTTTAATAGCCATGCCTGCAGTCTATGCACAGTGGCCTCAGACAAATAATAAATTGTGCTTCTTTTTTTTTTTTTTTTATAACATGGAATGAACCACCACAAAAACTGTATGAAATCAATGCTGTTTGTTTTATTCAAAAGTATAGAGAAAAATCTTCCAGATTAGCCACTCACTAGGTGTTTAGTTCTGAAGTAAAAAAAAAAAAAAAAAAAAAAAAACTGAAAATACCTCAGGTCAGTGCAGGTGGTTTGTGTTTCCTGGCACTTCTCATTTTGCACAGGTTTGGATGTGGTTACTGTGCTATACCATGAACGAAACATCTTTTGTTTTTATTTTTTTCATTTTTTTCTCATTTTTCCTGATTGACCCTAGCCATTGACCTTAACATATGTTCAGAAAAGTCTACTGCACCACCTATATCACAATATGTTTTTCAAGTAGTATTTATGAGAGAAGATTTTTTTCCCCTACTTTACTATCCCCAGATAGTACTAAATTTGCAATATAGAGAAATCAAAGCCACAAACCGTAGCTTTTGTTTCCCCATTCTGCTAGTGTTTCAAGCCTATGAAACCATATCACAGCTCTGTGCATAGAAAATTCTAAATGTGTGTTAAGGTAAGTAAGAGACAAATGAATTTCAGGGCAATACGAACATCAAAACAATGTGATGAAGGAAACCAATTATGGGTCTTCTCATGTGGTAGTTCTTCTCTGTCTTCCTTATAGCTCCCTAAAGATGGAAACTTTTAGACAAAAGCTGCTCAAGGAAGTGCCTGCCCAGGGAATATTGCTGAAGAAAAACCTTGATTTTACCAAGCTTACTGCTATGCTTCATGTAAACCATCTTCCCCATCTTCCCCCCATTCCCTCCAATCCCTATCATGTCCCTTATTCCTCTGGATGCCCCATCTGCTCCTATTATGAAGTTTCTGCAGGCTGTTAGATAAAATTTAGAGCTGAAACTCTTCATGGATGATAAGCATGTCTCAAGGCACTACATGACACTTTGGGATTAATTTCATCCCAAGAGTTAATCCCAAGAGAATGTTTTCTTGAAAGGAAAAGCTACTAATACTTTCCTTGTCTCCCCTACTGGGAACATGCCTTGCGAGAGGAAAGGGTAGTGTTTGGCAGCTGGGGTTTGATTCAGTGCTTTGCTCACAGCAGGTTTTTGCAGTTTTGAAAGCAAATAATTTTGTCCTGAACCATAAAGGCCTCCAGGCCCAGGCTCATGAATTGGGGAGCGTTGTGACTCCCACTGCAATTAGCTGGATTTGCACGAGGTGCTCCACACTTTTAAGGTATGGATCCCTCTTCAGTAAAACGTGTGTGTCACCACTTTGTAGGGCAGTGTTGATGTAGATTGTCACTTGCAGTGCTGAGAGGAGGGCCACTCTCAGGAGCCTACAGGCTGCGCCAGCTCCACTTGCACTGGGGTTCCTCTGACGACCATGGCTCTGAGCATGTTATAGATGGGGTGAAATATGCAGCAGAGGTAGGACTTCTTTTTGAGAGCATCATGTGGTACTAACTGGAATTTGACTGACTGTGCATCTGAAGAGATTAACTATTTTCCCTTTGCAAGTATTTATTTATTTTTCTCTAAAATCTCTCATAAAACTTGTGAATATTCATCAATGTACAGTGGGGTAAGATGTATCTGCCAACAAACATGTCTTTGCAAATATATCCTAAAACGGATATGCTTCTTTCAGCAAGATATTTTACTTTTTTAAAAAAATATTTTTCAAAATATTTGTGACGAAATGATCTACTATTTTCAAATAACAGAGTGCTTTGTTCCTAAGTTTCAGAAAGCATTACTGATGATAATGCAAAATTTGCTAAAGGCACATTTCACTAAGCTGATGTTCCTGTACCTTAACATTCAGAGAGGTAGGGAATATTTTCTACCTTCTAAACATCTGTGCTTTCAAATCTCTGTATTTATTTTTAAGAACTGTGACAAAGAGATGTTTTGTGTTTTTTGATACAAACTAGTATCCATAGTTACTAGAATTGATGGCCGATTTCAACCCTGAAGACTTTTTTGGATAATAAATAAGGGTGAATTTACTGGTGATGGAAGTCATTTACTAACAAATGTGTTTTTTTTCTCTATAGTATCTGAAAACAGGCTATAATCCATGCTTCTGTCCATGAAAAGCCTGCTACAGTGCCTTCCTACTATACAACCACTTATGCTGTCCAGATGCAGAGTTTCCAAGGGCTCTGCCCACTTATCATAGAGAAAAATGTTGGCAGATATTTCGCAGGGCCACTGGGTGCCAATATTGTGGGGATGACTGTGGGTGATGCTTTTTGGTTTTCCCCATGCCTTAGCATAGCTGCATTAATATACTGCCTTCTCCTGGCTGAGTAGATGGACAAATTTTGCTTCCTCAAGGTATTTCTTAGGTATTTCAAACAGGGGATATTTACTTTGCTTTTGTTTGAAGTAATCTGGTGTTTATAGACAGGAGACGATTGCTCGGAATGCATGAAACTGCTAGAACACTGCCAAAGATGTATGGGCCCCCTTCATTTATGCTTGAGAAGGATCTCTTAATCCACAAGGAGAAGAAACTGGGCAACATATTATTTAACATTGAGGGGAAATTATTTTGTTGCTATTTTAAATAATTTTGACTGTGCTTCAGAAAAGAAACAAACAAAAGACATTCAAAATATGCCTTAGACTCGAATTTTTGTGCAGCATTTTATTCTAGAAAGAACTTATCCTGAGATTCCACATGGCTGGTTGCGGCTACATATAGAAGCCAGAGATTTTCTGGAAGGAAATGTAAAAACTTGAATTACTCCCTGAAAATAGCGCATTCTCAAAGTAAAACTGAGAAAGAAATGCCAGGTTACTCCCTCTGCTGCCTTCCAGTGCAATATGTAATGTGCCCTTGTGGCCAAGAAGGCCAATGGGATCCTGGCTGCATGAGGAGGAGCGTTGCCAGCAGGTCAAGAGAGGGGATCCTGCCCCTCTCCTCAGCTCTGGTGAGGCCGCACCTGGAGTACTGGGGGCAGTTCTGGGCTCCCCAGTAGAGAAGGGCATTGAGCTTCTAGAGAGCGTCCAGCATAGAGCCATCAAGATGATTAAGGGACTGGAGCATTTGTCATATGATGAAAGACTGAGCAAGCTGGGCCTGTTTAGTCTGGAGTAAGGAAGACTGAGAGAAGATTTGATCAACATGTTCAAGTACCTGAGGGGTGACTGTAGGGAGGATGGGGCCAGGCTCTTCTCCGTGGTGGCTGGTGACAGGACGAGGGGTAACAGGGGTAAGCTGAACCACAGGAAGTTCCACCTCCATGTGAGGAAGAACTTCTTTCCTGTGAGGGTGACAGAGCCCTGGAACAGGCTGCCCAGAGAGGTTGTGGAGTCTCCTTCTCTGGAGATCTTCAAACCCCACCTGGATGCCACCCTGTGCCACGTGCTCTGGGTGTCCCTGCTAGAGCGGGGGTTGGACTAGATGATCTCTAGAGGTCCCTTCCAACCTCAACCATTCTGTGATTCTGTGATATACATATGCAAAAGTAGCAGAAGATGCAAAGCAGCATCATATGCACTACATACAGCCCAGTGTAAACCTCGATCTTACATGTGCGTAGCCTGATAATGTAAAAACCTACTTGGTTTGGTTGACAAGTGGTGCATGTCAGTAGGTGTTCCTGCATTGCATGTGTGCGTTTCTCATGCATGAGTTAAACTGGCCATGATTTAATTCTTTCTGAATAATTTTTTAAAAAAAGTTTGCTAAATTCCATTTTCTGTCTTTCATGCTTCAGTTATATACAAAGTGGTGCTAATAGAAAATGTGAGCACATGAAAGCATGGGAATGGGAATAACAAAAATACAATATACAGTTTCCTTGTTCAGATCCATTCCTTTACTTACTGTGTACTGAAAACTTTTCCCAGTATAATTTAACTGTTTGTAAGATTGAGTTGTTAGCAATTTCTTACACTTACAAGTGACTATTTTTTTTTCTTTCAGCTACATATGGTCCACTGGAATCCAAAACATGGTAATTTTGCAGGAGCTTTGAAACAACCTGATGGTGTGGCTGTTGTAGGCATTTTTCTGAAAGTAAGTGACAAGTATTTGGTCTCTACAGATTTTCTAACTTTTCATCTTTTTTTTTAGCTTTGAGGAAAATGTTCCCATTGTGCTTCCCAGCACTGTATCATTTTAGAGGAAACTGGAAGCGATGCACAATCAGAAGTCACACGTGTGCTTTGGGCTCTCCAGATTCCACACGCAAGCCCATTCAGAACAGACTTCTGGCAGCAGGCATGGCAACAGAGGCACCTTGCATGGGTGGCACTGAACAAGAAGCACACGGAGGTCCCCAGCTGTGTGCTGTGACATGCACTGCGCGTGGCGAGTGGGAGCAGCGAGGCCACGTAGGAAAAGTGTTCCTTCCTGCCATTAGTCTGCCAGCGGCTGCTGTGTTTACCCATCAGCAGCGTTACCTTCAGTGAGTCACTTGCTTGGTTCCTTGCTGATCCCTGCTTGAGCTGGGGGTGGAAGTTCAAGGAACTGCTCCAAAGGAACTGGGTACCTCAAAGAATGGTTTGCAGAAGTTCACTGAAAAAATTAAAACCTCAAAACACAACAGGTTAATAAAAAATAAGAAAATATGGATATTTTGCATTTTTAATACAACAGAAAGAAAGAAGTCCTAATATCAAATCTGAAAACTTTCTATGAAACCAGAAAATATTAGAGGGCAGACAACCTAATAGGTATCAATTAGGCAGATTTCAGCTGTGTAGAGAAGTAAAGGGCTCATTATACCTGTAGGTGGCAACTTCAGCTTGAACACAGTTTTTGAATCAGTGTCAGGGAATAGCCCTCCTTCTATTGTTTAATAATTGTTTAATAGTAATTTGCATTTGTACATATGTAGCAAGTGGATATAATTAACTTTGCCACACTGTCCCTGGACACTAGAGCCAATGCTATTTTAATTCTGTTATACTGTTATTAGCTCATCCAGTCTGTTCTTTTATTTCCATGTGGTTACTTTAAAATGATGCGAGTTGAAGGTTTAGCGCCTGTACAGATTCTCATTTATGCCTGTGTCCTTTGATTGTTTTTTTGTTGTTGTTGTTGTCGCTTTTGTTTTATTTTGGGCTAAAGCCTTAGCTTGTAAAACACAATTTCTAAAGTATAAAATTATGTTCCTATTAACCATGCTAAGGTCAGGTAAAATGTCCACAAAAGTAAGAAGTAAGTGGCATCACTGCATCCTCTGTGTCCTCCTTGATCTGTACAGTAGGAGCAGTTGTTTTGCTCAGGTTTTGTTGTGTTCCATGACTGATTTTCTATTTCTAGGGCAGAGTTTGATTTCCCTACTGAAGAATTCAGTTTATTCTATTCTGGAACAAAACATGACAACAAAAGCATATCTTACACATGCTCTGTTTACTTGGATGCAGAGTCACATCAGAATTTTTGGAAGCTTTGAATGTTGTGGACACAAGTGTAAAGTCCCTCATTCCATGATGGGGCCGTGACAGGAATTTCATTATTGTTTTATGCTGAGTCTGGTCTGACTGTGTGTGTGCTGCAGAATATCCTAAGCATCTGCAGAAGCTCCAGCTCTTCAAACTAACAGCACTTGTGCTGAGTATCTGTATATCATCACGCAGCCATTGTGGCCTGCATTCAGACCAGGGGCCTAGGACAAGCACTGTGGGGTCTAAATGACATTGTTTGAGCATGTGGTTGATTGCTGAGTCACAGGAAGATGCCTTGTGGAGACTTCCAGTACATTTCTGAATTACAAAACCAGCTACTCAAGTCTGTTACTCAGCATGGCATTTTAACAGACACCATTTTATGCCAGTCTGTACAAGATGTCCTGAGAATATTCCTGCCTACCTTGACAGATGGGATGTACTGAATTCATTTTTCATATTATGAAACATCGTGGAACTTGTGCTCTGTGTTGCAGGTTGGAACAACTCCCAAACCAGAGATGAAGAGAATACTTGAAGAAATTGATAACATTAAGACCAAGGTATCAGAATGCTTTTTATAATATCATAGAATCATAGAATCATAGAATGCTTAAGGTTGGAAGGGACCTCTAGAGATCATCTAGTCCAGCCCCCCTGCACACACAGGGTCACCTAGAGCACGTGGCACAGGACTGCGTCCAAGCAGGTTTTGAAGATCTCCAGAGAAGGAGACTCCACAACCTCTCTGGGCAGCCTGTTCCAGGGCTCTGTCACACTCACTGTTAAGAAATTTTTCCTTAAGTTCATGTGGAACTTTTGGTGCTTCAGTTTGTGGCCATTTCCTCTAGTTCTGTCAGTGGCCACCACTGAAAAGAGACCAGCACCATCCTCTTCACTCCCTCCCTTGAGGTACTTATAGACACTGATTAGATCCCCTCTCAGCTTTTTCTTCTCCAGGCTGAACAGGCCCAGCTCCCTCAGTCTCTCCTCATAGGGCAGATGTTCCAGGCCCCTGATCATCCTTGTGGCCCTGCGCTGGACTCTCTCCAGCAGCTCCACATCCCTCTTGCGCTCTTCTTAATGCACCCGAGGACCCCATTGGCCTTCTTGAACACGAGGGCACACTGCTGCCTCATGGTCAACTTGTCGTCCATTTTAGCTATAATATAGCTAAAAGCAACAGAAGCAGAAATCAGAAATTTAAAGTCTTGATATCATTCTGTTATGTAAGAGTAGTCCCAGAGAATACTGTGAATTGTGGAGCAGGATTGTTTCTTTTACTTAAGTAAACATATAGCTTCTCACTTCTGCAAGTATCCTGCAGCTGCAGTGCACCAGCATTTAACTTTTACCCCAGTTGACCCCAAACTAAAACAAAATCTTGATAATACCAAGTGAATTTTAGAAGATATGGGGAATAGAACAATGGAACAAAGGATTTGCTTGGTCTTGCACGATTCACTTTGTCTTTTCTTTTTATACGTCAGTGGAATCAAGGTCTGTTATTAGAGGGCAGATACCTGACAGGAAGAAAAGAGTTGATCTCTTGGTCTTCATATTTAATTGCTTCCTCCATAATAACATACATACTGATGTCTTTTAACATGGCTATCTCTAGAGTTACTGCAGAGCTTTACTTTGTCTTATTTTAGGGGAAAGAGGCTCCTTTTCAGCACTTCGATCCATCAATTCTTTTTCCCAAATCTCGGGACTACTGGACGTACCACGGCTCATTCACTACCCCTCCTTGTGAAGAGTGCATCACCTGGATTCTCTTGAGGGAGCCCATTGAAGTCAGTCCAGACCAGGTAACTGCTGCTAGCTCTGCCCTCCTTTTCCTGCTCTCAGTGCTCTCTCACCATGTGGGTGTGATGATCTGCAAGCTCTGTGTTGCCATACTGAGGAGGGGTATAGGATGGTAATGGTCCTATGATGATTTATAGTTTCAGAATCTTGCTAACTCTGCAGGTTTGCTAAGAGTAGCTGTTCTGAGTGCCCATCTCTTCTGCAGTCTGCAGCCTCTTTGCAGCCATGTGGAGCCCACTGGCCTCAGGAGCTAGTATGGCACTATAACGTTGTAGGAACATTCAGTTGCCTTAGAAGTTATTGTGAGAGTCTTTACTGAAAGTATAGGCAACATGCTCTATGCTTTACTATATTCTGAATATAATCTGAAATTTTAGATTATTAATCCAGTTGTTGGACTTCTGCAGACCAGCTGTTCCTATAGACTGCCTTGTGCACACTTAGATTGGCATCCCCCATCATGGATCACCATTTTTACACCAGAGACCAAACTGAACTTCAGCTGGGTCACAAAGGAGGACCCTCTCCTTGTTTGACCCTGTGCAGGCAGCTCAATGAAAAATCTAGAAAAGCCGAGGCCAGGGTCAGTCAGATCATCTGCTGTCTGTGGATGAAGCTCCACAGCTTCATCCTGGGCTAGACAGGGGGCTGCACAGGCTTCTACCAGTCATGCTGGTGTAAAAAAAAAATCCTCTAGTTTCTAGTTGTAGGCAGCAGGATCCACATTGCTTCCAGGTTTATTCATGCTGACACTTTGATTTTGCTTCCTTGCAGATGGCAAGGTTACGGAGCCTTTCCAAGAATCCTGAGAATGAACCCATGATCCCCCTGGTTGATAACTGGCGCCCACCTCAGCCTGTGAAGGGCAGAGTGGTAAAAGCCTCATTCAAATAAAGCTCCCACTGAACCTGAGTGAGAAAATCTCTGCATCCCAAAGCATAGTCAGCTTTTGCCTTCTACTGCTTTTCCTCTGGATCCAGATCTGTGTTTCCGAGCCTGAAATCTGAGTGGTGAAACATGACAGATAGCTGAATTTAAACCAGAAAAAAAATATACTGCATACAAGTACTAACCTTAACATGGAAACGTGGGATAGATGTGATTATTCATCACAAATGCGCAAGCCATATGATCTTTGAAGAAAATACTTCAATATTTCAAATAAAGTTCAAAAGAAATGTAGTAAAGGCAGAAAAATGAACCAGTATTTTAGGAAAGTAGATTAATGGTGGATCAACAGTACATGAGCACAAGGTTAGATGCTTGTTCATACAGCATCCTCAGTAGTGAACTTCTGAGATACCCCATCGTGAACTTCTGAAGAATAAGTTCTCCTTTAAGGAACCACTTTCTCTTTCTTGCTCTTGTTCATAGCTTGTTATCTAAGATTCGTATTCTGGAGGTACTCAGATATACTTGGCCTCTGTGCGCCAAGAGGAAAAGAGATAACCTTGTTATATTTCTTTGCCATCTTTTACTGTTGCCCACTGGTCTTGTTCTAGTGCTGCTGTTACTTCAGCCAGCCAGCCATAGAGCAGTGCTGGGGTCTTGTTGCCTTGTAATCACTATAGCAGATGGAGGATTGCTGTGGGAGTGCCTTTATTTTGCTGCTTTGACTGTGTTACCTCTCAGGATGACACATTTCAGCCTTAATGCTGGGATGCGTGTGTGTGTATTTGGTTGGTTTTTCACATCTAAGTCTATATAATAGTGATTTCACCCACTTGGAACTTTGTTGCATTGGGAGAAGGGCTTTGCTGATGACTCATATTTGTCATTTGTGTTCCCTACAGCTAAGAAATCCAGGTTAAGTCCCTAGGTGTTTGCTTACCATGTCTCTGAGTAGCTGGAGACTTCAAGCTTAGTTTAAGTCTATTTAGTTCTGTTGCTTTCTGGGGAGACAGCTCAGCTGACAGGCAGGATGCAGCCAAAGAAACACCTGCAGACAGGAATTTCTGAATCATCTTTCCTTGTGTCAACACTTCAGTGTGCTCCCTAAGCAGTGTAACACAAGTACCATTGAGATCGACCCCTCATCCAGAGTATGAGCAAAGATCTGCTGTCTTACGTTCACCATCAGGGTGATGAGTATCCTACATACAGGAGATGGATGGTTAAAGGTGTTGTGGTGGCTAAAGCTCCTGCAAATGAAGCTTCTTGGATTCTTTGTCTTCCTTTAACTCTTTCATTGGTGGTTAAGGGAGTTTCTTCTGGACAGAGATGTGTTTACAGCAACATTCATAAGGAATATGCCAAAGGATGAAAAAAGCAAAGTTACAAATGGCTAGAGCAGGCATTTCCCACTTATCCTTCACTAATTCACATTTTGCCCTTACTAGAAAGAAAAAGTGTTCCACTAATGAATTAATGAAACAGGCAATATTGGCCAAATTCCGCTGCTATTACAGTACAATTCAGTAAGGATGCATAAGTGAAACAAGGCAGAATTTGGTCCTTTTAATTAATTTAGAAAGGATAAAAAGTTGTTGAATTCCCACTGATAATTATTGCAATTTATTGAGAGCATATCTTGCTTAGTATTGAGCAGTTTCATCTTAAAAATCAAGCTCATGTTAGGAGAAAGTATTGTCTGAATCTAGTTAAAATGTTTTAGCATTGGTGTGTTTATATCAAATCAACTTCTGATTTTTACTAGTGCAGCATTTACAAAAATACTGAGTCTCTTACCTTCTATTATCTCCTGAATCTCCACATCCTCTCAGTACACAAAAATGGTTCTACAGAATGCTTGTAAGCAACATTTTTTAAACTATGCTATGTCTTACTTTTGAAATTTCTTCTCATATCTATGGGCAATTGATCTTGGTGTCAAGGAAATTTCTACACATGTATGTGAGACCATCTTTCTATCTAAAAAATATTGACTGTGATATTTTATTTCCTTGTTATTGGGACAATAAAACAGGATTATTTCTCTGCAATTGAATTAATAGCTTTTTTTGTCTTCAGAGAACCAATAAATTATGTAAAAAAGTAAAGGTGTTTTGGGGTTTTATTTATAATGTTGAGTAATGAAAATGACAAGAGCTTTCTAGACAAATTTTACTTGTCCTTGTAATGTAATGGATAGATGGGCACACTACTAATGGCCACATTTAGCTGTTGCAGTTTATTTTGCAGTTATTTTGAAATCCCCCCATGGTTTCTGTGTGTCTAATAGAACAGCCTCTCAGAAACACAAGACATCAACTAAAACATACTTGCCCTGGTGTACCTCTTTTCAGATGCAAAATAACTATTTACTTCTTCTTTGGACACACATATTCTTTTGCATCTTCCCAAAATTCATATATCCATAAATAATCCCCTTGAGTATCACTAACCTGGATATGAATTGTGTTGCTTTGCAAGAAGCAGATGGAACAATTGCTGAAAACCCTTTGCATCATTTTGAAGTTTCCTAATTCATTTATATTTTCTTAAGTACACAAATTTGCAAAGTGAAATACTATCTCAATTTTGTGATACTGTACAGTTATTATCCACACAATGAGACTCTGAATGCAGGTTACTTTCTCTGTATTACTTTCTTTACTTTTATTGCTTCTGCCTTGCAGAATAGACAAAAGTAAATTAACTACTGACATGGTAGCTGTAGTCCCAGCCCTAAACACATGGTTTATATTTTGATACATAGGAAAATGTTGCCTGAAGTTTATATTCCCCCATACATTTGCTCTAATTCGGTTCTGTTTCTGCATTTACTATTACTGCTCACAAATATTAATTTCATTGTTAATATGTTTTAGATTTTCACTTTTCTGTTGTACAATGCAGATAGTTTTGCCCCAATCCCTTTTCCCTCAATGAATACCTGTAATGATATTACATTTACTGACCTATGGTGTAGCTTAGTATTGATGACCTTGGTAACCAAGGAAGAATGTTAGGTGGACTCCAGTCCTGCCCCTTACCTATCATATATAGAGTAAAAAAGCCTCTGAGCACTGGTCAGTTAAAACAAGACTCTAAAAACCATCCTAATCATTTGGATAGTGTGGTACACTAAATGCTTGACTATTTTAATGCATATAATGCACCTATTAATTTTCAACGGGACAGCAAATGATTCTAATGAATTCCAAGCTATTATATTTGACAAACACCGTAATGTTGCTCCTGCATGTACATGGATCCAACGGGAGATGCTGCAATATACAGTTACAGTTTTGATTTTAGTGAATTGTGTGCTTGTCATTGAAATTAACCTTACATATATTATCCTATATTGCTTCCATTTAAATTAAAAAGAGCAAATAAAATGTGTCTTTAAAGCTTTTAATTTAAAACAGGCAAGCTTTGCAGTATTTACACAAGTGAATTTAAGAGTCCACTACCTTAAACAAGAAAAACACTTGCTTCTATAATCCCTGGATCCAGAGAAAAGGAGCATTCCATCTACTGATCAACTATGACCCAGAAAGAAATACGTTAAAAGTGCTTGGTAAGATGAAAAATGAGCCTTAAAAAGATAGAAGAAAAGGGAATGCAGCTTCTTTGCAATGAGAATGAGACAAAGATTAGTGATGGTTTAAGTGCAGTCCAATAAGTCTAAATAAATCTGTCACTTTCAATAAGGATGATGTTGCAGAACATGGGTGTAAATGATGAAGGAATGATAAGAATGTATATGTGAGAATGAAGGTTACCAAAAGTAAGGCCATAAATTAAAGAGGACAGCACAGCAAATTCCATCAGTGGATGGGATTGTCTCTGCTTTAGAAAGCTGAAGTTTGACACAATGAATTGCAACACTCCCATTAATTACTCTATGTGACAAGATCTTTATGGACATTGCATCCTGCCTTTCCAGGAGAAAATACAGCAGGAAGGTTGGAAGTGCCATGTTGTGCAAAATAAGATGTCATACTATCAGTGCATTCCTGGACTTGCTGAAAGTGGAAGTGCTTGTACAGAAGGCTACATGCACAGGAACTCTTCAAGTAAGTCTTCCTGACGGGGCACTAATCTCCCAGACTGGTTTTTAAGAGAGTTGTATCAGTTGTGTCAGAGACTGTCAGTTCCTCAAGCGGAACTTAACAGAAAGAAAGAAAAATCATGCGTTGGGTGAATCTGAGCAGCACACTTATTCTTTCACTGTTAATAATGAACACACTACAGAAAATCTGTCTGAAAGCTGTGCTTTGAGTAAGTGCTCTCTAAGCTCCTTGGGCTGGACCAATGAGTTGTGTGCCACTTCTTTCAGAACTCTATAGTGGATATAAGGTAGCTTTACTAGAATATGTTTTTGATTTCTTCCAATCCCTGCAAGTATTCTTTTTTCTTTTTCTTTTTTTTTTCATTGTTATTCCCTCTATTCATCCTGTTTATCCACAGCTAATATAAGCAACCCTACTGAAAACTGAAGCGAAAGTTTTCATTTGGTTTGAAGACTAATTCCTATCCATTCTCCCTGGATTACAGTTCTTCATTCTCTTTCTAGATAGATAATTAAGGAGGTATTAAATGCTTGTTTTAATTTCTCTGATTAATTTAAGGCTAGTCTGATTTTTTGGCAGTTCACACTTTATGCTTGCCCTTGACTTCTAAACCATGCTTTCTTTACTGATAGTTCTTTTACACTATTTAATGCCTCTATTAACATCCTGAATGAGGAGAGGTAGTTCACTCTCAGGGACTTTGTGGAGGGTACTGGATTGGGGGTTGAAGCTTATTTTCTAGAAATTAGAGCTGCTGTTCAGAGGGATCTAGAATGGCTGGAGAGTTGGGCTGACAAGAACTTCATGAAGCTCAACAAGGGTAAATGCAAAGTCCCACACCTGAGGAGGAACAACCCACTCAGTGGTACAGAAAAGGATGCAGAGGTCCAGGTGGGCAGCAAACAGGTTCAACCAGAGTCCCTGGCTGCGATGAAGGCCACACAAAGCAGGCTGCAGCAGTACCAGAGTTGCCAGCGGGCTGAGGGTAGCAGCACTTGTGAGGCTGCATCTCGAGTACGGAGTCCGGTTTGGGACTCCTAAATGGCTGATGACATTGGTAAAATGAAGCAATTTCAGTGTAGTAGGTGACCAGCGGAGGTCCCCTCGGAGGCCTGGCCGTGCCTC